CCATCAACCTACTGACACCCTACCATCAACCTACTGACACCCTACCATCAACCTACTGACACCCTACCATCAACCTACTGACACCCTACCATCAATCTACTGACACCTTACTTGCTGTAATTGCAGCCACCAATGGAAGTTTCAAGGAGACAGGCTGGTTTGACCATCTAAAGAAGAGATGGACTGTGGTAGATAATTTGGCTAAAAATCGTCTTTACCAGTTTATTACTGTGAGCAGAAATAAGCTTGGAAGCAGTCCTGATAGTCCACCAACAGATACTCGTCCTTTGCATCACGTTGTTCCTGCAGCAGGTAAGATACTAATTTTAAATTATCTGTTCCATTGAAAGAAAGGTAGATTTATTGATCGATTGATTGACTGATTAAGAAACATAGTGTCCCATGGTGTACTTTGGGTGGGGCAAACATTTACTATTTAGTAAATTAAATATATTTATAACTACTTTTTTTTATTGTAGCATCTGGCACGAGAGAGGATATTCCATTCTACAGAGCACCATGGTTTATAATCTTAATAGTTTTCAATATTTACTGGGTTGCCTGTGGCAGCCCATTCTAAATTTACGTCTGTTTTTCTGATTTCTCCCAAACCAATTTAACAGGAAGAAGTTTGAATTCATTTGAGTTTTACATCGATTTTTACACCCCCCATACGTATTGCGCTTGGCACATAATGCCTTTTGACTTTAACGAGTGCCAAAAATGTTCACGCTTTATTTTTTATGAGTAGTTTTTTTCAAGTAGTCTTATGAAAATATTCATTTTATGTACCCTTTCGTGAATTTGAAACTAAAAAAATAAAATAAATAAAGTCCCATGCAAAATTTGAGGATTTTGCCATCTTGAAGTTCAAAACATGTATGAGTCCTAAATAAAAATTTGAAGGTTATTCAGGTTTTTGAGTTGTTTGTGTGTGTGTGTGCGTGTGTGCGTGGCTGCGTGTGTGTGCGTGTGTGTGTGCGTGTGTGCGTTCGTGGCTGCGTGTGCGTGTGTGGCGTAAATCGAACATGTAATTGCGAATNGAGGATTTTGCCATCTTGAAGTTCAAAACATGTATGAGTCCTAAATAAAAATTTGAAGGTTATTCAGGTTTTTGAGTTGTTTGTGTGTGTGTGTGCGTGTGTGTGTGTGCGTGTGTGTGTGTGTGTGTGTGTGTGTGTGTGTGTGTGTGTGTGTGTGTGTGTGTGGCGTAAATCGAACATGTAATTGCGAATCCTAAAGCTGGGATTTGACGTAGACGGGAGTGGAATAGCCCACTTCCGAGATATGCTTCGCTCTTCAAGCACAAAAGTTTCAGTACGAGGCTACGTGCTAAATTAAACTTATTCTTTTCTCCTGTCACGAATCACTGAGCATTATGCACAAGCCTCACATTGAATCCTTTGTGTGTGACAAGGGAAGCATATCTCGGAAGTAGGTTATTTGGACTTCAAATTTTCGTAGTAAAAGATAGTAATTCAACATGAGGGACAAAAAAAGTAACGCATGAGAGAGGGGAAAAAAAGTATATAAATAAAAGAAAGCTACTATGAACAACCTACTGAAAATTTTTCATCAAGCATTGAATATTATATAGCCCCCGAATAGTGCTTACGCCTTTTCGACCTCTATCGCAAACTCTCGCTAAATCATCAAGGATTCGAAAATGTTACATTTTCAGAAACATTTTTCGAGTGCCTTTTTCCCTCGAAAGTCTTAAGATCAAGTGTACGGTTCAGTGCTTATATCTGGCACCAGTTGATTGTTCTTCCTTAACCAACTCATTGAACCATCACAAGCTTTTACCAGTCCTTTTCAAGTGTAATAACTCTTAAGTAAACAACACTTGGGACTTATCTATCATGGGTAATAATATAAGTACTTCGCTAACAAGTAAACTAGCATACATACATACTATCGCGAAATTCCAAGGACTCCGTGCTTTAAACCTCCGTTTAAGAAAAGTCATATTAAAAACCTCGTTGCGTTAGATCATAATACATAATAGACGCATAGATATTGTTATTGATTGTCTGCCTATCATCGTTGAATGCACTGCTGGTGTTTTAACAAGGTTCTACACGCCCAATCGAACAGCCTGCGACTTTACGTCCAACAACTCGAAATTCAACTGGGATATTGCCTTTCAAAGGGGCGAAAATGGAGTGCAAGACACTTTTAGGTAAAACCACCTTAACTTCATGTTCAGTGTATGCCTTCTTTGTAACACAGGAAACATCTAAAAATAAAATTTCTAAGTATTCACTTTTAATTTTTATTTTATTTTCTCAGCACTGATTTTTGTCATTGTTGCCGGTAAGTAAAAATAATAATTTTCTTTTCAAGCTAAAAACACAGAAATATCTTTAGTTTTAACGGATTTTTCAATCGGAGGATTTATCTTTTCGTGCTGTATTTGACTGTTGATGCGTTTAAGCAACTAAACGCTATGAAGGGATTAAAATTGACTTGGGTGGGACTGTCTGGTGTTTTGATCTTTGACTGGTACTTGAAGGCTTTCGCCTCTTTGTTGTGTTATTGTTTTCTCGGACCATCTTTCCCTCAAACTATTCTCTTATTTTCTAGCATTTTTGATTCCTTTTTCATTAGATGATATCCAAATTAGTATCTATAACATAAGTGTTGACTTTTGTTCTTGATATAGTCAACAGTGGCTTTTCAATCGAAGCTGACATCTCGTTAATCACTTGTTAATATAACTGTTACTCATTGATTACTCATGCGATCTAATTGCATTTGACTGCAGGAGCGACAAGTGCCTACAATACCGGCAATGAAATCAACGTAGAATCGGGTAAATATAACACAACATTCCACTCAACATCCTTTTTTCAAACATATAAAATGAAGAAAAATAGGACTCTGTATACTCTGATTATCTAACTCGTTATAAAGATACTTCAAGTCTTTCGAAGCTGAATCTCGAGCACTAATAATTCAGTAACCGCTAACTTTGCTATATCATAGTGTAAGCGATTCCTGTCTACTTGGATCCTTTACCAAGTTTCCGAAAGGGCAAAGTTTACTTTCACAAATGAATTGTCCTTCTAGATGGTAT